GACCTTTTTCCTTTGTCGGTATCACTTATTACGTCAGCAAGACGTAGCAAAATCAGTCCTCGGAAACGAGGTCGGCATTCGGCAATGCCGGGTTAAATGCACATTTTTGCCCACCTTAATTCAACCAAAGTAATAAGAATTTTTTATGCTGATAGCTTTTAAAATGTCAGCGATTATAGAATTCGATTCATAGTTCGATTAACTGAACACACTACGGTGTAAGGTTTAAAAACTGACGGGTATAATTGTGTATATAAGTTAGATGTTTGAAGATCAAATTTCGCGCGTCTGGAGTTAAAATTTGGCTCCAACTTTCGAATTTTCCGGCTGGAGGTAACGTTCCAGTTATATTCCGATTTCAATGATTCGTAAATGCGTGATTAATTAATATTGCTCCAAGACGTGCATGGAACAGATAACAGATTTTAAGAAATGCCGAGATGTGCCGACCTAGGTCAAATTTAGGTCGGCCCTCCCTCGCCGACCTCAATTTTGACGGTTTTGACTTTTCGAGGGCTGCAAAATGGATGCCGACAAAGGAAAAAGGTCGCTTCGCGCAGAAAAATTCGCTAGTGGAAAACCGACTTAATAGAGGGTAATAAAGCGCATTTAAACATGCACATTTACTATAGATGGCCCTAGGAACTGGGATTGACCTATTTTTAGACTGGGAAAATGGGATTTGGGTTGCTGGGACTGGGATTTGGCCACTGGGAATGGGAAATGAAGTCCTCAAAAATGGGAATGGGATTGAAGTAATGTGAGTCGATTCCCAATTTTGATCCGTTTTTGGTGTCTTTAGTCATGATTTTTGTTGTTAACTATATTATTCACAGCACTACCTGCGAACAAGCATACTCGGGCGCCCGGAATTCTGGGTTTTCTGATTATGCGTGTCTCAGAATGATGCAAATGCCATTTCCGGGATTCAAATTTAAAAATTTTCGGTGCCTTCGGCACGAGCCTCCCCCCCAATATTTCATAAAATGTCCGCCACTTGCACACACGGTGGCTTAAAAGGTCTTAAAACTGTTTATTCTACCGATAAATAAAGGGTTTTTTATTGACTGGGATTTCAATAACTCGGACTGGGATTTCTAATAAAAATCCAACTGGAACTGGGATTTTGCCAAAATTTCAGGTGGAAAATGGGATTGCCCCCCCCCCCCCTCCACTTCAGGACCCTCACTATAGGCTAATGACTCGGCAAAATTACCAAACAACAGTCGGCAAAAGATCACTCACACCCCCCACTCGAAAAGGGTTAGCGCCGCCCCTGTCTCTCATAAGCGCATTGGCTAGGAACATGGCGACGGTTACGCCAAAATCATAGGTAAAACCAAGAAGTCGGCCTTCTGTAAGGTCTCTGTTGGGGAGGTCATCTTGACGGAGGTTCCGACTACAGTTAGAAAATGTCAGAACCATTGCCAGAATAAGATCGCATAATTTTTAATGAAAACTTACATCGGCTGCCTTAATGCCAGTCTTTAATTCCCGATATCCCAGTATGGTGAAGATAACAAAGCCAGAAAATATGGAGGTGCCACAATTTATAAATACCACAGTATAGGTATCCCGAACACACTGATTGTTTTTGGGCATGTAACTTGAAAACGTGATCAAGGTTCCGAAACCCATGCCAAGTGTGAAAAACATCTGGGTTGCAGCATCTTTCCAAATCTTTGGATCATTCAAGCGATCCCACTGTAGTGTAAAAAGATAACCGTAAGTAAAGTAATATATTTAGATTGGACTGCGAGTACAATATTCATACATTTGTATTCTAGTTATGTTATGCATCTCGCAAATATCGTTAAGTATTAGTAGTCGTAGATGCAGCTGATTGAGAGATGCAGTCAGCGAAATCTAAAACTTTAACATCCGAAGTGCAACCGAGATGATGGGAAAGTGGGCAATATGCTTCGTGTTCAACCTGATAAGGCTTCTATAAGGTAAAATTGAGTCGGTCTTATCCGGAGTTGGGATCCCAGGAGCCATTTTATAGCTTATTTCAAATCCAGCACCTATGGAGCGAAGCTTATACATAATACATGTATAACGTTGTTTCAAAATTATGGTGTCATATTTTGGCAGTATTTCACAGTTGTAGCATCCCGCTACTAAGCACTGAACACAAAATCATCCCCAGGTTTACTTTAAAATTGTTTTGACGTTCGTTAGATATGAAGATTGCAACCGTGGATTGTGTGAAGCCTATATTTTTTAAAGGGAGATATTTCTCGCACTTTTTGAATCAATGATTATCGTGGTCTTCTTTTTGGAAACTTACGCTGTTAGGATTCTACAGCGCTCACATTGTTTAATAATGTACACAAGCTATACGAATGAGCTAAAATTGTTATATGTTTGTTCAGCTGTGCCCTTTATACCTGAGGAGAAAAGAACGTCTCAATACCAGAGCCAGCTCCATCTAACGTCACACCACGGAAAAAGAGAATGAGCAGGATCACGTATGGAAAGGTGGCAGTGAAATAAACCACCTACAAAACAAATTCAGAAAAATATCAGTGAAATATCTTTAGATGTGAAGTATGCGATTCAAATTGAAGCCGGGCGAACCTTTGTAAGGTCATTGATTTTGTAAGGTCATTGAAAGTATTTAACTTTCCAATGATACTTTTTTGTATTCTTGCGACGGGACGTAACTAGGTGTAAGTACAAGGTGACTTGTGCCTCAGTAACACGATGCCGGATTCACTTGGTACAATATGTGAACATATGTACTCTCAACAAATTTCGTATTATTTTATCATATAATCGAAAATTCAAATATTAAATGGTTCCTGGGACGGTTACATGCGATGCTAAGGCGAATCCGGCATAGTGTAATTTGGCCTTTAAACCTCTGGTTGAACTTACAAGTGGACGAAATACTGAATTTTCTTAATAAAGTTTAGCCAATTATCGTGAGACTGGTTTAAGCCAAATTTAATTCTTGGCAAGCTTTTGTTGTCCCTAGGCTACAACTTTTACACCACTTCGTAAGAAACTTCAAAGGGCGACAAAACATTGTCTTGGGAACAACGATGTTGACAAACAGGAACGTTTTCATTTAGGACTGTACATCCTGAAATGCAAACAACGGATAACGTACCTTGCCACTTGATTTGATGCCCTTGGCGACGCAGAGATAAACAACAACCCAGGCAACAATCAAGCAACCGACCAGCTTTCCATTTAAACCAACACTGTAATCTTCAATATCGGTTGAAATCTCCAGAACATTGGAATAGAAGTACCACTGAGGCGGGTCAATAACACAGCAAGAGATAAATCCTTCCAGCTCTGATTTCTTACTTTCGTAGTTTTCTTTTGAAATGTTTGCAAAGATAGTTTGGTTGTTGTTGTAACTCGTGTAGTTCTTTTGCCAGAATTCCACCTGGTTTTTCAGATTCTGATAAGATTTATACTTAGGACACAGCTCCTCTAACTGCCAAGGGAGGTTCTTTTGAAACGAGATGTAGAAATAGTAAAAGCACCATGCAATTACAACCATGTAATAGCAGCATACAGTGAGAGAGACGATAACGGATGCCAGTCCAAGACCAGATAACGCTGGACTCACATTAGGCCATACTCGCCAAGAAGACATCCGCATTTTTTGACCAATGGCGAACTCAAGCATCATGATGGGAATTCCCTCGATTACCATGAAGATAAAATATGGTATGAGGAATGCGACTGAAAAAAATACATTGTGTATTAAAGATAAATGATTTCCAGTCTTAAATCCGTCTGACCGTGTAGCTCAGTTGGTAGAGCGTCGATCTAGTAATTCGAAGGTCGCGGGTTGAAAACCCAGCCGCGGCAGGCAATATCTCTCTGCTTGCACGCGGTCTGGAAATTATGAAATACTCACTCAAGGGCATATATATATATATATATATATATATATATATATATATATATATATATATATATATATATATATATATATATATATATATATATATATATATAGCGCAAAGGCCTATAGGCAATGACAATTGTGCCCCAAGCTCACTACCAGCAACTGCGGACAGCTGTTTCGCCCTTTTGGGGCTCGTCAGCGCAGTGTAGCTGATAGTGAGCTTTTCATCCGAAAAGTATTTATACAACCAACAATGAGATGATGGATGTGGGACACATAAATTATATATACGACAAGAACGCCATTCAACCTAATACGCATGATCTCTGCATGTCACAGATTTAAATCAGCGCAAAGGCCTACACTGTGACAGTACTCTGCTCAGCCGACAAGACTTCATATGTAACAAACAGAACGGCTACGTTTGAAGAAGTTTAATATAACTTTTTTTTAATAAACTTCTTCAAACGTAGCCGTTCTGTTTGTTACATATATATCTATATATATATATATATATATATATATATATATATATATATATATATATATATATATATATATATATATATATATACGGAATTGTATAAATATGTATATAAATCTTACTTACGTCATAATTATATGCAATGACGTCACGCGGGCGAGCTTAAACACGATTGGGCGAAACTTGCTGACTACGCATTTTTTAGCGTCCCCCACGTGTATGATACAATTGAGGGATTAATGTTGGTTTGCTATGAATAGCTCGAGTTCCTCACATGGCAAAATTGTTATCGAAATTAATATATAGCAGAGTTATAGCCGTATCTTTGCTCGAAAGAGATAAATTTCCACATGTATATTGAAAGATTTTTCGTATGTTCCATAGCGAGGAATCTATTCGTCGCAAAAATCAAGACATATTTTAAACTAAACAGTTCCTAATCCCGAGTTCTCAACGTCGTTGTTATGGTCAATATTTGCATGTTGTTCAACATTATTTAGCAATCCTCCTACATACATATATACTGTTAAGATGATCA